GCTCACCATGAAGGGTCCTGGTCAGTACCTGAAAATAGCAGTCATCATCTGAAAATTTGGTATGGATCAAGTCACCTAACTTCCAAATTTCACACGTGCATAGCAATGCTCTCACCTCTGAAACTGGCTCCGATTCTGTCGCTTATTTTGCAGCCAGATGCTGGTTTGAAAGCATAAAATGAAATATATGAAGAAAAAAATATTTTATATATATTGTATGATCAGCAAAGTGAAGAAGGGTGAAACAGCCTGCAGTCACTGTTGCAGGTCTTGTTGATTTATGGACTGACCATCATGGTTATATGAAGCAAAAATAAACTGTGTAAAACTTACTTAGAAATGTAAGTCTCTGGCCTTGCGTGTATTTTTCTAGTAAATAGTATTAAATTTTAAATGCAATTTCTCTTTGTTTCTTCCCAAATTCTGCAACTAATTTGTACCGTTTAATGTGTTAGGTAATTCACAGTGCATCATAGTGTGTTTAGTTACTTTAGGCACAGAGTGCTTACAAAAGAGCACATGTGGTGTAGTGTGACTTGCTCTGTTATGGTGCAGATTTTTGCTTGAGTTAGTACTTAAAAAGTCCTTTCCTGGGGTAAAGGATGCAGCAGCTGTGTTACTTTTATGGCATTTTGTATTTTCTTTACTTGGAGGAAATGCAAGCTTGGCTGTACATATTCTGTTATTAACACATTGTCTTATGTTAATATCGCATACTACTATCCTCATTACGAAAACTATGAGTTCTTTTGTGAATATCATGTTTATCATGCCACTCTTTTGAAGCCTGGCTATGCAGGAAGAAAGCAATCACTAGCATATACATAAAGGAGGAACTAAGCGCGGTCATACTGAAATATCACGCGGTATTGTTATATTACATGAAAACATGCTCCGTATATCGATATGATTGCAGGGAATTATTCCGTTTGATATCCATTTGTGTTTGTTGCCAAAATTGTAATCAAAAGTACATGCATAGAAAACAAAAATACTGAAGAATTTTGGAATCATCATTAATTTACCACTGGATGTCTTTCAGCGGACAACACACGTGACATTTAATATTTTGAGACTAAATTCACTACTGCGTTAAATAGGTCGCAACTTTAATCATAAGTCATAGCAAAATACACATTTGTTGCTTTAAAGTAGTTCAGTGGAATTAGTGAAAGCTGCCTAGATCCCCTCATAAGCTATCTGAAGCTAAGCCAAAAATAGTGGATGTTAATTCCATTTCTATCCTAATCCTTTCTCTGCTTGACTAACGATTTTCTATATGTTCATAGCAGGGTATCTGCCTCAAAGTTCATGTTTTCTTGTTCATGTATTTAAGTGCAGGTTTCCTTTGGATTTCCAAATGAAAATCTCTCAGATCAACTCAAAATCTACAATGGGTATTTTTGAATAAAATATCCATTTGAATATTTAAAAAAAATATTTTTAATTTTTCTTTTTTTATAAAATACCCAAACTACTTTCCTATAAATTAGGTCTTTACTTTTTAAAAAGCAAAGTTTAAGCAAAGTAGTCTTCTCCCCCAACATGAGAAAAAAAGTTGTTTCAGGTCTCTAAGTACCAAATGAGTCAGCTGTGTTTATTGTATCCAGGTTTCACATGGGTAATCCGTTTCTGATTAGCTGATTCACAAACTACAATGGCATTGCACAGCTGTGAAATCAGGCAGGTTCTGCGTCTTGTGGCTGGGTTGAGGGTTTTTTGGTTGTTTCTTAAGAAGCTTGTCACACCATTCTCAGTACCTGCCCCCAGCCCCTCTGTGGTATATATGTATTGGTATAACCATCCAGACACTTCTGCTTTCTGCCCCTTCTCAGAAGTCATCAACTGGATGCAGTCTGCATGAGCTCATGTAGGAAGTACAGCACCTCTAGCATGTGTTCATGCAGTGTCGTGTCTTTTCTGTAGGGGTGTCTATTTGTGTACCTTGGGGAATCAGCGCCAACATTGCATGTGTGAAACGCAGAGTCTGGGAAGGTGAGTATGGGATTACATGCAGTTTCCAAAGTTTTAGGAAGAAAGGCCCTGTGTGTGCAGGTTTGCTCTGAGTTTATGCGCACTACTGAATTCGTGGCTCTGCAGAGGGGAGTGGTCTTCTGTTTCCTCCCTGTGCTGACACTGGTGATTGGTGTGGCTGGACTGATGATTTGATGTAGTGAGTGGGAGCTGAACCAGTTTAAAAACAACCAACCAGCCAGCCAAGCAACCAACAGGCTGATGCAGTATGTGGCAGACCTGTGTGCTCACTTACGCTACTGTGAAATGCCATGGTGACATTTGGCTGCAGCAGAGGTGAGGAAAGGTCAGGTCTACCAGATATCGATTTGTTCTGCAGGCGTCTCTCCATGCAGAGCTCTACGTGCACAAGTCCAGCTCAGAATCCTGCCTCTGACACGTGGGCATAATGGGCTGGTGGTGAAAGAGCTCTTAGGTCTTTCCAGAGTGGGTAAAAGGAACAGGGAATGGAAGCGGAAAGCAACACATGGTCTGTACATGGGGAAATGTTCAGGGTGTCTGGGAAAATGTAACTTTGGATTTCAACACAATAGGAAAGTGCATTATTCTGAAGGAAGCTGATTCATCATGTTTGAATGGGGCTTTGTTGATTTTTTTTCTTACTTCCTCCCATCTTTAACTATGTCCTAAAGTGTCAGGTGAGATGCTGTTTTACTTAACTGGTAATTGTTCCCATTGTTTTTAAAGCCCAGAAGGTAATTGTTAGAATTATGCTACCATGGAATACTGGTCTATCCAAGTAAAGATGTTCAAATGCTGTTCATAGTTGCTGGTTATAATGTTATATATGTATTTGTACATATGTAATATACATGTGGCATTGGCCCATGTTTGGTCTTGATTTCAGCTGCAGTTGGAGTCTATGTGAGTGGGGCAAAAATAAATCTCTTCAAAATTCTCTTTGAAGGTTTCATTGCAAACATTACAATGAAAGTTGTTTTCTGTTATGTCATCATGTTTGGACTGTGTCATTTATCTGAATATGTTTCTTCACATTCAGGTGATGGATCAATCTCAAATTGCATCACTTCTTCCAGTTACAGAGGTTTCTGCAGCAAGGCTACATAAAGAAAGCAAATAGAGGCATTGGTGTCTGTGTATACACACATATTTGAATCTTGTAAACTTTGTGAGAGAGCTCTTTGAAGTTTTTGCAGCCTTATGCCATCTGTTTGAAGCTTCCTTTCAGCTGAGACTCAGTATTTGTGACTGAGGATTTCCATTAGTAAATGTTGTTTCATCCCAATCTGTGAGAGCCTTTGTAGGTATTATCTTCTAAAGAGATTAAATTTAAGATCTTCACCTTGCAGACAGCTATACTCTGGTGTCTAATCCTACTGATTCCTATGTGGCAGACTATACCCATATGTGTAAGTGGCTGCAGGATTGATAAGACTGGAGGAGATGATTGAAATGCTTTAAAACTGTCACTTTCCCAGTTCTTGCTTCTCTTCAAAATGTTGAATGAGATTTTATAAGGGCTTCTGAAAAACATGCAAAAATACATGGCAAAAAGTGGTTGCTTTTGACTGCAGCTGCACTCAGCAATGCCTCCCACCTAGGAATCACAGAATCACAGAATCTGAAATTCCATTCCTGGAAGAAAAGATGCTTTTGTGTTGTCCTTAGATGCCACTATAGTGGAGTCCTATGGGCCAGAGAGGCTGCATGGTTTACAGAGGAGGCTTGGTGAAGAGTCTGTAATGAGTTTAACTCCTAATTGAACCAGCACATATGAAAGAGGGGAAACTGCCTTTTTCTGCAAACTCTAATGCTAGAGGATATTTCTGCCAATACCAAGTCCCTAGTACACAGCCCACAGTGAGAAGCTTCTCAAAGAAGTGATTGCAAATATTGTTATTTGTTCATCATCTTACTCAATTTAGTTTCATTATGGAACACAGCGCAAATGGATTTTAGGTGATAGGAAAATTGCAACCTGAACTATTGGCTTGCCAAAGTTAGCAACAAAAATGGAATTACAAGTGTAAGCATTGCTAACTGTAAGGCTCAGGAGTAGAGCTGCTTGGTTTGTGGATGGAGTACAAGGCATGCTCTTTATTGGTTACGTGGGAAGATGACTCTTTGACCCTGTAAGCATCATATTAAAAGTATCACATATTAAAAGCTTCTCACTCATAGGTTTGGATGCGAGCCCTTGCAGTCACTTGGTCTCTTGGTGTTCTGAGTGAATGCTCCTGTTTACAGAGTGCTTTTGTCCACCACATGTATACACCTTTCCAGTTCCGCACATTCATTTTTAGTTTAGCGATCCAGTTCACAAGAAATTGTGAAGGTTTCTGTAGGAGTCGTGCTAGGAAGGCAGAATGCACCTGAGGGAAAGCTCTCTAAAACGAGGAATTGTGGCTTCCGCTCTACTGCACAACAAAATATCCAGTAGTACTTGAGCTGGAAGCGATGAATAAATGCTCTACATTTTTCTGTTCAACAGAATGGGCTCTTTTAGGAAAGGGTTATATGTGTATGTGTTGGCAGATATAGATATATGAGCATATTAAAATAACTTAGTTATACAAATGTTGCATGACCTCTGTGACACCAAGGGAATGTGTGTAGTCAAACAATGGAAGATCTGATTTGATCAACAAAAATGGATCACTAAATCTAAATTTTAATCACTAGATTAAAAATCTTCAATTACAGCTTCTCTTAGGTGTGGAAGTGCTAACATGAATGTTAACAACTTTGTGTTTTATGAAATGAAAAACCCCCAGAATTTCAATAATTCTGAATCTAATCCAGGGGAAACCCACTGTGGAAACTGAAAATGGAAACCGACTGGTCTGAGTACACAGAAAGTGCAGTACACAGAGACTGCTTTTTTAGAAGTACTTGTGAACTGTGAATAGCAAGAAGCCCAGGCAGGAGGTCAGTAGAGATTACAGTTTCCAGTGCATTTATGTTTTACTGAAGTTCTCTCTTTTCTTTTCCACCATTTCTTGCAGATCTCTCTCCTTTGCCATGTCAGCTGACAGCCACCAGCTCCACACTCATTCCTACCAGGACTCACCGAGTTCTACTTGTCATGGTCTCCTGAATGTCAACAGTCACCCCCTGTCAAAGAGCTCCTCGAGTCTGGCCTGTACTGGGCAATCAAGTTTAGAGGAAAGACAAAGCAACAAGCAGGAGCTGAAAAAAAGCCATAGCAGCACCATCTGCCATACGCTGGGAAACAAGAGTGATGCAAGGAGTGTGCAGAGTCCTGGATGGTCCTCACAGCCTCGGATGGTGGGACTTGGATCAGTGGTCCAAACCAGAAGTGACCAGTTAGCCAATGACAATTCACAGAGCATAACTAAGACTACAAATCATTTTCTTATCACTGAACAGTCCCCAGCATCCTGGGAAGTGGGGGACACTAAAATGTATGTAAAGAGCAGCACTGTTGAGAGTATTTCCTCAGCCTGCGTTGTCCATCAGCAAAGCATGTGTAAAATGGAAGAACCGGGAACTGCCCTTCAGAGAAGCCACTCAGACCTGACCTGCAGTTGCAAACACCAGACTTGTGTCACTCACATAGAAACCAGTGCTACTTACTCCAGCCTAAGTTCTTCTAGCTGCAGGCATGCTAGGATGTCTTTCCAAGCACAGAGATATGGATCAGAAACAAATGAAAATGCACCTCGCTATCAAAACCCTGTGACTCCAGTTCTACCCAGAGACCAGCAAGTACCCACAAATAGCTTTGACAGCAGTGGTATGCCACGTAACACTACTGTTTACACAGATCCTGGAACATTTCACACTGCAGTCCTAGGACCCCATGTGCCTGGAAATGGTTTCTCAAACAGGACAATGTTCAATCAAGCCACTGGGCTTATTCATGGTGGTCTGATTTACAGTAATATTCCAAACTCTGCATACTCCCCCATGGTGATGACAATTCATAATAATTCTGCAGGGCCCTGTAATATAAGAAAGGACCCTTGTACGAAGGTAGATGCCACCGTCCCTGCCTATTGCCATTCTTTGCCTATACCATCTATACAACTTGTTCCGCAGTTGGTATGCTCAGTTAGTGAGTCAGGAAAAGAGCAAGCAGCACCTGGCTATTTTCATTCCTTTGCTACTTCAGACATTCTGACATATCCTAAGCTGGTGTCTTCAGTAAGTGAATCAGGCCTGGATGCCAAAAGAGTCCTGAAGTGCTGTAGCATTCCTGGAGAACAACTGCAACATGCTCAACACTGTACTCAGCAGGAGAAGGCTCCTCCAGAAACAAATGCTGCCTGTGTTGCCCTTAGTAGCCAGCAGGGTGTAAACATGGTAATGACAACTAAGGATATGTGGACTATGACCTCTATGAATGATTTAACCAAAGGACTGAAAGCAGCTCTTGAGTGTAGAGATGCCGAGGTACAAACTCTTCCAATCATGGAATGCAAATCTGTGGCAACAAGCCCAGCAGCTGCAGCAGATGGCCACTCACATGTGTTCCCAGAGGTGAACCTAGAGCAAGACATGGAGGCCCCCAAATCTCCAGTGCGTGAAGTGAGATGGGATGATGAAGGAATGACGTGGGAAGTATATGGGGCATCTGTGGATCCCGAAGTCCTTGGGTTAGCCATTCAAAAACATCTCGAGATTCAAATAGAACAATTCCAAACAGAGCCTGCACAGCTGGCTGAGAAAAGCAATGAGGAGCTGCCTTCTGATAAAACAGGGAGAAAAAGGCAATTCAGAACAGTGATACACTCCCTGAGATACCCGAGCTGTTGTGCTCGTTCCAGTACCACAGTGGAGTGAGCACAGCTGTAGGATGTGGGACAGCTGTGCTGCTTTTAAACTGTAAATAAATGCTGCACAGTACATGCGGACAGCCTATATCAAGATAAGTTCAGTGACCGTCAAATACACATCAAAGCAAGTTAAAACCCATGGTTGTGCCATGGAACAGAGGACATACAGGTGTACGTACCTACATCATGCCATCTTAACTGTATTGTAGCAATGTTTTATTCTTCTATGTTGATTTTAAATCATTTTGTAAGGAATGAGACTTCTTTTCTAAAGGATGCATCTTTTTTAAAATAATGATGACTTTTTTCTGTATTTTAATAATTTAGAGTTAGAAACCAATGTTAGAAAATTATGCTTTCATCAACATTCTTTGCTTTCAATCCTACTCCCTCAATTTGTTTCAGGAGCTACTTTGTTGTTAATTTATAATAGTGCTGAGGATAAGCCCACTTTAAGTGTAGACAAAATGACAAACTAGTGTAATGCTTTATGATGAAGAATTGTAACCTTTGCTATGTAACTCTGTGAAGTAATTTCTGTATAGCTAGTCTGAACTCTTCCCTTTGCAAGCTGATGTACAGTTGGAGGATCCTTCTGCAACTCTCAAATTAGTTTGTAGTTATGATGAATGACACCAAGAACTGATGTTTACCAAGTGATTGACACGATGTACAGTATTACCAAAGATGACTCGTGTAATGTGAATTACTTCCTGAATGCTTGTTTTAGAGACATGAAACAAAAGCTGTTCAGATTAGTCTGTCACACTATCATATCCTACAACTCATAAGCAGTTTTGGTTTGCCTATATTAAAAGTAATTTCCAGTAAGTTCTTTTTATGTGTGTTTGTCGTGAGCAGTGGTTTTTTTGTTGTTGCATAAACCACAGGTGACTGTTTGCATGTAATCTTTGCTCATCGTGTTTTCCCTGTCTGGCCTGATGTCAAGCATCTGCTGAAACTGAGGCCCTGTTTCTTCACCAGGGTATAGCTCTAAGGTTATTTGTCCCCAGTACCTTGATCATATGGGCAGCTTAAATCTTTCTCTTTTCCCCAAACCAACTTTGCACATGATTTCCCAGTGAAAAGCCTTTTCTGATACTGCAGTGTAGCTGTAGTGCAGGGCCTGTTCGAAGTGAGCAGTTTGCCAAGGAAGTTGAGACTATTATCTCCAGTGTCATGTGGCATTTGGTCAATGTCTGAGATTCTTCAGGAAACTAGGAATGTTTTTTGATGCAGAGAGAGGAACATTACTCATTTCTGTCTCAAAATGAAAACCTGCAGTGTCCGAGAACTTACTGCTGTGGAATTACCCATTCCTTCTTTAAATGTGTGTGCTTTTGTCGAGTTGTTTTTCATTCCAGTAAGTTAGCAGGCTGTCTGCATCATGTTCAGCTGAACTTTGTATGTGGACAGGAGGCCCTGGTGCCCAGGGCAGCTTTAAAATTTCATCTAGAAAACCCCTGAATGTAGTACTTGCTATCTGGAATGTACTGTGGTGCATGATTCAGTAATGTAGAGTAGTTCAAGATCAAATGTTCATTCCTGGACAACGTGTAACTAAACAAAGATGGCTCCTGTGAAACTCAATGTGAGTTCAGGAAGCTTTATTAAGGCCCTGGAGCTTTGGCCTCAACAAAGTCTGAATTCAATATGAGTTTTATGCAAACCAAGCCTGAAACCACTGGAATATGATGCCTTATTTGGGATGCCTTGATAGCTTTAAGTATCCAAGTTTTGGTAATGAGCCTAGATGTTAAAGTTCCTTTTATTAAAGCTGTACTGGGAGAGAAGAAGTAACTGAAAAAAGGCATTTCTGATGTTATTTAGCATTTATCTAAACAGTTTCTATAGGGGATTATTTTATGGTCTGGAGTGTCATAAATAGTACCAAACATTGATTTGTTCCTTTTTTTAAACATTACACTTTATGAATGCTAAGCAGTATAATGGCCTAAAACCTTGTGTTGTCTGTTAGCTTATTCTCAGCTGTGCAGGAGAATTAAAGGTTTGAACAGTCAAACTAAAGCTTTAAAACAGCAAGTGTACCTTGCTCCCATGACCATCATAATCCATGATTTTAAGCTATTTGACATGTGGAATAATCTTGATTCTCCTTCCCATCCCTGCCATACCAAGCACCCCTCCAAAATAAAGCCCCCAGCTCTAGGAAGATGATAAAATAGGACCGGTATCAAACTGGTCAGAGAGTTTGCAGAAGGGGCTGGAACAATATGACAAAGTCTGTTGGGTGCTTTGGCTGTTGTGTACTAAAAAGCTGGAACAAGTGTTAGATTTCATACCACTCTGATGTGAATTGCTTATGGTTTATGCATTGGTATGGATTTGCACGAAACACTGACTATCATTCCTGGGTGAGTGAAATAAATTACAAGCAAGGGGAAAGGACACCAATAGTTTACTAATTGAGAAAATAGATGTTCACTCATTACAGGCATTGTGAGTCTTTAGAATACCTATTGGAGTTGCTGCTGGTAATGCAAATAGTGTTCGTGTTTGAGGATTTTAATACAAGGTGTATTAATGGAGAGCTAGAAGGAAATACTCATGTGAATATTAGCTACATGGATAAAATAACATGGATAAAATGATGGGTGCCTAAAAAAGGGGGGGGAGAAAGGGGGAAGAGAGGCCAAAACCTGTCAGACATTTGATATTGACTGCCTTTATTATGATTGCACAGTTTTACTTTCAGATACTCTCTGACTGCAGGGTTAAATACTGAGATAGAGGATATTATCTCAGTGTTGTAAATAAAAGCCTTCCATAGGTAGGTCAATTCTTTAAGAAAAAAAAAAAGACTGAAAAGTTGCTTGGCCAGTGTCATATCAGTTAGTTTTATAATCATTGTGTTTATTTGTTTGGTCTTCTCCTGAAAATGTGTGTATGCTCTGAGAAATGGCTTTCTGGAGTTGTGTTTGTGGCAGGGTGCTTGATGGCTGCATTAAGCAGGTGGGAGGCCACCTAACCAAATTCATTCCAGGTTCAGAAATATGGGTGCCCCAATAACAAACTTCCCAGTGGTGTCTGCAGCCCCAGGACGATGAGGAGACAGCAGCAGGGGTGGGGTGTGCAGCTGAGGGGCTCTTCGAAGCTGGCAGCCCCATGACAGGGGGTGCTGTAGGCTCTCTGTCACCCCTGGTTCAGTCTGCAGCGTTTGCAGACCGCTTGCCTTTGGCTTCATGCATGTTTTAGTTTCTATAGCCTGGATCCTGAGCTGGTTCTGCTAAGGACGGCCACGGACTTCACCCTTCACATACAAGTTTTGCTATAGAAACCCCTGCTCTAGAGTAAGCTCATCTTTCCACATGCAGCTTAAGAAACGGTGTGTTGTGCAGCTGAGCCAAAAGGCCCCATGGAGCAACACTGCTCCATGCCCATAGTCCTCTGGGACAGGGGTGAGTGGGGTGGAAAACACACTCTGTTGTTCTGTACCCAACTGTAACCAAAGGTGTTCCAGGGTAAAAATCATCTCCACTGTATGCACAGGGGAATGTGTTTCTCCCTGGTCACTTCTCTGCTTATGGCCAGTAAGAAACAGTGGCAAGCTGGACTAATTGCATTATTGGATAGACATTTAGTCTTTTAAATCCAAAGCAGTAATGACCTGTCTGGAGACGTGCTGAGATAAGAAGCCTTCTGGAAAGATGTCACACTCTGTTAAAGATGGAATAAGAAAAATGTACAGCTTTGTTTAGGAAAATTAATGTGTGGTGAGATTGGGATAAAGCAGAATCTTGGTGCAGAGGTGAGACCCAGGAACCCTGACTGCAAACAGGGAGCAGGGCCAGGAGCCCCCCAGACACTGCTATAGCCCCCTCCGTGGGGAGCTGCTCCAACTGTGAAATTGCAATGTTATACTCCATTGCCATCTGTTCCCTTCAGACATGCTGAGGTGATTAATTTGTGTTCTTAAGCCCCTTGAAAATGAAAGCAGTCTAGTAGTGCTAAGTAATACTGTTAATTGGCAAGAGGAAAGAGGCAGCATGTGAGTTTATGAGTTGGGAATAAATAATTCTATCAACTCTCACAGTACCAGTTAAATAACTTGGTGGGACTTGCTGCATCAGTCACTTGTGTCTTTCCCTTCCAGGGGACTTTGAGACTCCCTAGAGTGAAGCGAGTTTTGATTTCTAAGTTTATTTATTTTCCCTCCATCTAGAACTATGGCTCTGAAATGAAGAACATAAGGTGCCTCTTGAGCTTCTTTCCAAAGCCGCCTTATTTACACAGGTCACAAGATCCAGCTGACCCTCTGCAAATAAGGAGAATCTAATGCCTGTGAGCCTGTGTGTAGAGCCCCAGGCTGCTCATGTCTGCAGGTCCTGTGTGCCTGCTGAGGAGGGGAGGGAGCCGTGGTGCTTTCTGCTGATGTTAGGGGTCCAGGACATCCCACTCCCCTGCCCTTCTACCAGGGGTAGCTCTGCAGTGCCACACGGTACACTTTGTAGGTGATGTGTGGGTAAGTGAGAACTTAGTTCCTTTTCTTACTCAAAAAGAAACTTGCAGTCAAAAATTCTACCCAGTATAAAAATGGGTGTGCTCCTTTTTCACCTCTGCAAGCTGGAATGAGTGTATCCATTTTCTGTGGAGCAGAACCCCTGTCCCAGGCAAAACCAGTGCTGCGGCACTGGTTCTTCCTCCAGGAGATCCTTCGCAAGACTGAGCACATGGTTGCTTGTGGCTTTTACTGCCGGTCTGCATCAGTGAAGGGAATGGTGCATATTCTTTGCCATGGTCACTTGGATAGCTGGTTTCCATCTTTCTCAAGCTGTGGAAGTGCCAAGCCTTGAGCTGACTGCCACCGTATGTACAAGGGCCAATGTGTTCAGATAGCAGAGAACTAAGCTGCAGCTTGTGTTTAGAAGCATCAATCCTATTTAGTATGTGACCTAAACAGATGTCATCTCTCTTATTATCAGCCTTTCAATATACTATGGGCTACAGTATATATGAAAGTGTCTATGCCACTCAGATGACATATGAAGGAAGCTTAGAAAACAAAGGGGGGAATCATAAGCAAGGAAATGACAGTG